ATATATATATATGTAGCGGTGTTTACCCCTACTTGATAGTAAGCGAACGGTCACTTAATTCATCGTGGGGGCTCGGGTTCCAGTTACGCGCTGCTCAGTCAGTAGGCTTATGCAACAATAAATGAAAACTACAAAATCCTTTCTATGTTAATAGTATTTATTAAATAAAGGGGGATTACAATGGGGGATTTAAACGGGAACTTAAACTAACCTAACTACTACTCACGTGAGAACAAATTGAAGATAAAACACGATATGCATAGTCCATTCAGAAACATTCCAATAATATTTATAGTGTTCGATGATACGAAAACTATAGCGAAGGAATAGCGAAGAAGTCCAAAACAAAGTTATAAAATATAGAAGCGAATCCAACTTGAGCAGGAATGGCAAATGGCGATTCAAGTCAATCATCGGTCAAGAAATCAAAACGTTATCCGAGGTAACACCATCAACCATCCCATGTCGATCAGACATGGGCCTGGGTATTCCTCCAGCATAAATCTCGAAACTTGTAACAAAAATTAAAGTACTCCAGCTAACTAAACTTAACTTTAGATTGGGAACAGCAGCCTACCCGATCTCCATTTAGAGTCAGTTCGATCAGAGCTGAACGGTGTAGACTCTGCCCCATCTAAGTTAGTGTAGAATTAAGTTGGTACAGTACTCTGATGGAATGGTCAAATGACCAGAGCCGGCACGGCCCAGGTTAATAACCTATCCCGGAACTGTATTACTTTAATTTAAAGAGAAATTTAAAAAAAAGCAAAATAAATTAATCGAATAATAAGATTCAAAGGCTTAATAAACACAAAAATACACACTACTACATATATATATATATATATATATTATATATATCATCAGGAGAAGAGTGCTCAATACCAGAGTTAAATAATATCAGTTTCCCTTGGTATTTGAATCAGTTGTACACATTTACTTGATGAGTGTAGTCTATACTGCTGGCTTTACGAAACAAATTTGTAGTGGACTAAAAGTATGAAGTAAACAGGTTGTATTTTTTTTGCGAATTATATATAAATATCACTTATGTAGTGATTTCACCTGGTGAACCAAAACTTGTTTTATGATGCAGGGGCAGATTTAGGGTGGGGGCCGGCCCCGCCCCGCCCCCTCCCCCTCCTTTGGGAGGTAACAAAAAGAAAAAAAAATAAAGAAAGAAAAAGAAAAACGTGATAGGCCAGAACGCCTCAAATGTTATTTTCGGGCGTCTAAAACACAACAATTTCGTGGGGGCATGCCCCTGGAAGCCCTAGGACAGTGTTGTCTCGATCGGCCTCCTTTCGTCACCCCTTTTTGGACATCTCTGGATCCGCCCCTGTGATGTGTGGTCAGTTAAAGAATATTTATTTGAATTAAGTTTGCTTTTTCTAATTCATTTCAGTAACCACTTGTCAGGAAAGTTATTATGGTGAGGTCGGCGAAATATTTTCTCCAAATTTTCCTGAATTCTACAACAATCGTGATTATTGCCTGTACTATATCAAAGTTCCTTCAGCATCCCATATTGTTCTAAACTTCACCTTTTTCGACGTCGAGGATCATAAAGATTCGTTAGAAATCGGACCAGGGCCATACGCAGACTATAATCTTCCAGATGTGACGTACTTTGATGGTCACGTGGCACCTCCACCGTTAGATGTGGAGTCGAACCAACTGTTCATGATGTGGAGTACGGACAGAAATCTTCAGTTTCAGGGCTGGCACATACGGTATACTTCAGGTAAGTCTAGTTTGAGTAATACAGAATCTAAGCTAGATTAATAAATACATTATATTCAAACCTACACATATTTATATAGGGTGACCCTTCCAGCGTATCCTAGAAGGTCGGCTGATATTAAAGGGCCCTCTTAAATAAATGAAATAACGTGGTGCTTTTCAAGGCCAACTCAGACAGTGTCGGCCGACGCAGCCCGACGCGATTTGTTGTCGCGTCGGGTCTGTGTGAGTTGAACGCAGACGCGATGGTGTGCGTCGGGGTCAGTCGCGTAGTAGAATATTAAACGTGTTTAATATTTCTCACGACGGCTTAAGACTGTCCCCGACGATAAATCGGGTCGGGCTGCGTCGGCCGACGCTGTCTGAGTTGGCCTTAACAGTCAAGTCTCTTTATGAGGCTTAGGGAGTGGAGTTGTTTGTATTCGTGAGAAAAATTCCCGAGAATTGAATCCGGGACCCTGGTAGAGGGCACGCATCTTGACAACTAACTTAGTGGTCAAGATGTGTGCCTTCTAAACCCAGGGTCGAAGCTATACAACTCCACTCCACATGTACATTTTACAAATGAATATAAAATCCAATACAAATAGGCATACAACAATAATTTCACTATTTTGTAATATTAATACGCTGGTAATACGATATTTATACCGGTATTGCTTTTATTATTTATTTAATTGAGTGGATTGGAGAGTCATGTTGGCAATGTTGTGACATTGGAAAAACCCTGATGCAATCAATAATGTATTGCTTTCATTTGGTGTGACTTTGTTTTTGGCGATTGATTTTCTAGCGAAATTTGTGATTGCATAATTTTTACAAATGGTTGACCTTGAATGGTGCATTGCAGCGCCGACAAGTTGACGTACTATGTTAACTTTCCTTCATTTAGCTCATTATAGCTGTAATACTTTCACCGAATTTATCAAATGTATACATTTTTTGCATGTATGCATGCATGCCCTCATGCGTTCGTTCGTATGTTCATCCATCCATCGATTCACCCATCTGTATATCCTTCCATTAATTAATTTATGATTATTTCGTATCATTCTTCATATTTGTCCTTTTTGATGCATTGCGGAGCCATGTTGACGTAGGCCTATTATGTTTGAAAACAAAGTTTGAATCCATTAATTCATCCATCAATTAATTAATTCATACATTCAATAACTTACATATGTAAATTAATTGTTAATATCTGTTTATTTATTTCAGTTGAGGGTCCACCTGTCCTTCTACCAGTCACTAACCATGGCGACTCTTGGGCCAATGTTGAGTGGCGCTTATCGCCTTTGGTACCCGTCGAGTACTTTATTGTCACGTATTCGGGTGATGTTGATAACATGGAAATGTCCACCACTGTGGATAGAAGGGAAGACTTTACTACGTATGTGGCGGATTTGAACCCTGGACAAGTGTACACGTTTATGGTGACGTCAGTGTTCTATGACGAGCAGACTGAGAGTAACACGGAGACGCTTGATCTTAGTAAGTATATGAACATTAAACATTTTACTGAATAAACAATGGAAATTATTAACTATATGTTTTAATTCGATTAATAAACTAGGGAAGTATAGAGTACATATATCCACCTTGTTTTTTGTCTGAATACCGACGTTTATAGACGATTCTATTATTTTTCTGTAAGTGGTAAGCTACTTGCTGTTGGATGCGAAAATTAATTTTTTCAGAAATTTCACAACAAGTTACATATTAAAAATTGTTAACATAGGCATCAAAAGAAGCGGTGGCTGTCAGTTTGAATACCAAACATACAAAAACATACACACGCAGAATATATGGATAAACAGCAAAATTTTCATTTTTAAATTTTGAGTCGCCCACAATCTCCGGCACCTCCCGGAAGGGGAAATGCCCCAGTGATCATCACGCAACAGTAATAATATCGTGCGCCCCCCGACACCAAGGCATCTCCGACAGTGTACTGCCCCGAAAGGTGCCAGCGATCATGGATGACTCTCAAGGTATAAAGATATTAAAAAGAGATAAATTTTTAAAAACAGTTAAAGTAATATGAGAAAAGTTTTCCTTTAAGTATCCAATATCATCTCTTTTAATATATTTTTGACCGAATTTAGCGAATTTATTTTAGAAAGACTCATAATGTCAGAATTATTTGATCTTTAATTATTTGTGAAATACAATTATGACTTATGAAGAATACAACACCAAGTTGCAAAGGACACTAAATTCTTAGAGACATACAGACGGATGTATTTATTGGAACAATGTTTTTCCTTTCGTTTTCTCCAAATGTTATAGGATTTGGTGCACCATATTTGCAGCCGATTACAAACTACGATGGGGACTACGCATCTCTGGAATGGTCATACAGTGGTTCTGCAGATAGTTTCAAAGTTCGCTACCAAGCCGCCTCTGACGGTTCCGTAAGTGAACAGACGTTCGCAGGGTCCGACAGAAGTGCCAGGATTGAAAACCTGACGCCTGGAGAGAGTTACGCATTCAGTGTCAGTGCTGTTAGTCAAGTTGACGGGACCGAAGCGCAATCAAACCAAGTATATTTTAATTCTGCTACCGGATCTGGTAACTAGGCTTCTTTGATTTTTGTTCATACCGTCTGCATGCTCAATTAATTTAAAAACATGGCAAATATACACTCTTCTTTAAATACATTTTTAAATTTCTTTATCAATTAGATTGGATTAGATTGACCTCTACTTTGATTAGTATTTAGGATAGGTAGTATTGTATTTTTACATTATTGTACTGAATGTTTCAGTCTGGTATGATAGAGCTTATCAAGTGCAATGACGTTTATTATTTACAACGTTCAACGTCAGATGTAAGATAACCAGGTTTTTGCGTAATTACACAATAGTGAACCGCTCCGAAGGCCAGTGTAGCTAAGCATCAATATAATCGGCCTTTGGATATTGATGCTAAGGTCCGATAAAACTTACGTAAACATGTGCGTTTGTGAAATAAGCGCGTATTTAGTCAATTGTTAAGTTGGATTAACACTCTAGAAATGTTCACGTAAATATTACATCATTGTCTTCTTATTTTCTTAAATTTTATACCCATGGATTATAGTTTATGAGTAACGACTTATTTTTATCTACATAATTTTCTTTAAAACTGGAACAGAGCTATTCGGGTCGAGAGTGGTCACACTTAATTCCAAAGTAGAAATAATATACAACGACTCCCATAGAAAAATCACCATTTGATCAATTTCATATTGTGCGCTTTTTTTTGTTACCCCTAGACCTACATTAACACATGATTATGATAATATTGTAAAATAATTAATCATACTAAAGTAATAAATATTATTTTTTACCGTTTAAACAGCGGAAGATTCACCATTCCTTCAGCAAATCACAGCATCCGGTTCAAACGGTGCTCAGTTGCAGTGGAATTATGATGGCAACGCAGACGAGTTTATAGTGAGTTATCGTAGTGATGGAAGCTCAATGGAACAAACGATGACAGTAGCTGGGTCTGAAAGAAGTGCCATTGTCAGTGATCTTGCCGCTGGAGAAAATTACCAGTTCCGTGTGTTGGCAGTAACTTCTGGTGGTGCAGAACAATTCGCTTCCAACTATGCAACTTTCAACTCGGACAGTGGTCAAAGTATGTACAATTTAGGAAATGCAATTAAATATAAAGCAGCGATTTTAGGCAATTTAATCTAGGTTGTTATTTACTCTTGTTCGATGATGGGTAGCAATATTTAATTTTATTTAAAGATTATAGATGCTATACTACTATACTATACTATACTATACTATACTATACTATACTATACTATACTATACTATACTATACTATACTATACTACTATACTATACTGTACTATACTATACTATACTATACTATACTATACTATACTATACTATACTATACTATACTATACTATACTATACTATACTATACTATACTATGCTATACTTAAACTATATTTTGGTTGATTTTAGGTGTAATTGCACCACAAGCAAGAGAGATATCCGAATTCTCTTCAAGCAGCGCAAATGTAGCGTGGGAATACGAGGGCTCCACACCAGATTCATTCTTTATCCGCTACAGTACAGACGCTACCGGGTCTGATAAACAAGTTGCCGTCGTAGATGGATCTGCTCGTAGTGCTAACATAGACGGACTATCACCTGGTTCAGCATATTCTTTCTCAATTTCTGCTCTTGTCAATGGATCAGAATATATGTCTAGTCCAGTATACTTCACGACACGTGAGTAACAGTATATCAAGATATCTTATCAGGAACAATAATTATAGTATTACCTCTTGCAACAATCGCGGTAACAGTAAGACTAGACGACGACTTATATGCAAATTTCTATGACGTGTTCTCTTTAGATTTGCAACGACGAGTTAATGGGCCTGTAATAACTTCTAATAAATAAGTCGAAAGGGGCGATCTATATCTGTGACGTGACGACAGGATCCAGACCAATGTTAAATTCGGCAACGTCCAGAGATTATACCTCAAAATGACATCGTAAACCCGTTTTAGTTACTCGTAAACTCAGAACTAAAACATTGATAGTAAAAATGTTACAGTAACATTTAATCAGAAATTTTACTGTTTATTGAGACATAAATAAATTTGCTTGTATATTGCATTTAAATTACCTATGGTTTTACAGCTCTTGGATGTGAAACAAATCCTTGTACCAATGGAGGCGTTTGTCTCACAGTTGGGGATACGTATAGCTGCGATTGCCAACCAGGATTCAGTGGCGACAATTGCCAAACAAGTATGATATATAGTTAGAAACTAATGATGAAACTAATAATTTATTGATAAATTGCAAATAATTTAGTCGTATACTATACAAATAATGAATGTTCAGACTGCAATGGAAAGAATAGAATGTTTATTTTAGATGTAGATGACTGTAGTGGAGTGGCATGCCTAAATGGAGGCGCATGCGTGGACCACACTGACGGATTTGATTGTGTCTGTACAGAGGGATTCATAGGGACAACTTGTGAAGTTGGTACGTATAAATATAATGTGCTTAATAAAATCAAATACCTAAGCATTTGTAATACTAAGCACGTCAAAAGTCTAAGCACATTATAACCAATCCATATGAACGTTTGATGTTAAATGTTTCACCAAAAGTGGGACAAAATTGCGTGGAGCATTGTGTTTAAACCTTTCACGCTGTTTTTATATTCCGGCACGGTATCACAATATCCAAATAGATATATAATAGAAAATAATAAATATTAGAGCATTAGTAAATTAA